CAGGTTGGTGAAGAGGGCATTAGACTCAAAGCTGATGAATGATGAAAAGGCTGTGGAATCCGAGCGAATGAATGTCAAAGAAAGATATCTGCTCGTCAACGCTATCAATCTGCTCGAGGAGAAAATCCAATACCGAAATGCTCTGAGAAGGTATGAGAAGATTCTTGGACTGCGCAAAACGAAATTTACAAGAGTCCAAACTTGAATCCAAAGGGGGAGAATGTTGGGTTCAAGATTAGAGCTAAAATGTTGTATTCAAGTTTCTCCATTTGCTTAGCTTAATTGTAATTAGTTTAGTTTTATTTTCCTTAGTATAAATAGTCTTTCCTTTGTAATTGTAATTACRCACAATTGATTACATCACTAATTCTGAAAAGGTGATTTGATAGCCAAGTAGTCCTCTCTCTCCAATCTATCTTACATTCATCTTTGTTCTTGAGATTTTATGATGATTACATCAAGATTCGTATGAAAATCTGGACTTTTCATTGTTTGATATTTGTGTTTCTCATCATTTTGCAATATATGCTTTGCTTTCAAGGTAATACATGGATTTTGAGGAAGAACTTTTGCTAGTTATGATCATTTATTGGTATTGAAAATACAAATTATCATCAAGAATACAACGAATAAGAGATAACACTTCCGCCTTAACTGGTCATGCATATACACTAGAATTGTTAGGCGGCTCGAATACATAATGCGTTGAATTGATGCGGCTTTCTCGGGACGCGTATATACTATTATGCAACCATTTTAAACAAAAAAATTGGTTGCAAGATAGTAGGAATGTGACCGTCGAGGAGAAGATGGCTATATTTTTTACAATTATTGGCCATAATGAACGCTTTAGAATGGTTAAACGGAGATTTCAACACTCTACGGAGACTATTCATAAACACTTTCGTGAAGTGCTACAAACAATGATGAAATTTGCAAAAGAAGTTATACGGCCGACATCCTCTGAGGAAACGCAAAACACATCAGAACGTCAAAGAAACCTCAGACAAATATTTCTGGGTGCAATGGGTGCATTAGATGGAACTCTCGTACATGCAGTCGTACCTGTTGATCAACAAGCTCGTTATAGAGGTAGAGGAAGAGGTGAATGTTATCAACATGTTTTAGGTATTTGTGACTTTAATATGCTTTTCACGTTTGTTTGGGCTGGATGGGAGGGTATAGCACATGATGCTAGAGTGTTGAGAGAAGTTGCTTTTAGTCCAACTTCTGGCTTTCCATTTCCTCCACRAGGTATGTAAAATTTTTACTCAACTTTACCATTTCTTATACATTTTATATTAACTCAAATTTCGATTGTAGATAAATATTATCTCTGTGATGCTGCTTATGCTAATACTCGTGGTTTTATGACTCCATATCGCAATACGAGGTATTGACTTGCTGATTTTCGATGACAACGTGCCTTGACCAAAGAAGAAAGGTTCAACCATGCTCATGCGCAACTCAGAAACGTTATCGAGCGTGCCTATGGTGTCTTGAAGGCAAGATTTCCAAGTTTAAAGCAAATGGCTCCCTATCCGTTTCGCATACAAAGGAACGTTGTGATTGCCTGTTTTGCGGTTCATAATTTTATACGAAAATGCAATATCCACGATCAGTTATTCATGGATTACGACAACGACCCCATGTTTATTGCCGAGGGACAAGAAGGAATCGAGGGAGGCGATGAAAATGACATGGATGGAATGCCTTTTGGCACTCAAAACAATCAATATATGACTAATTTACRTGACCAGATTGCGAATCAATTAATGTTAAATCCGTCAAATTAAGAATTGTTAAAAAACTATTATGTTGGAATTTGGATTGTTATGTTATTGTTTATTCCTGAATTTGAAAAAATTATGTTTGGTTGGACTAATATGAAATCTTGTTTCGAACTAATAATGTTACGTTTGTTTGGATTAATATGAAATATGTAGTTATTTTTGTAAAATTATTGTTTTATTCAGATATCAGCCAAACAGCTCTATTTCATTCAGTACTAAATCATTCAGAGGGTTAAAATGGTAATTTACTGTCATTCAGAGAACAGTTACCAAACAACATTATTTCATTCAGCACTTAACCATTCTGGCCCTCTTAACCATTCTGACCACTTAACCATTATGCACCAAACCATTTAGCAACTGCCAAACAGCCCCTTATTTGAGATGGAGGAAGTATGAATTATGGTTACTATGCATAGTATAAGGGCTAAACTATCTCTTTGTATTTAGTGTTTGGTATATATTTGTTCCTCTTTTTCTTCGTTTATAATCTTCAATTGGAAAAAATCCTACCAAGCTTTGGCTCCAAATTTTGTGATCATCTTCATCAAATGTTAATCATTCACCAATTCTCACAACCAAAAGAGGAAGCACGATGTTTAAATAACTAGGTAGGGTGGAATCGTCATACCTTTATTTTAGAGGGTAGTTTATGTAATATTTTAAATATTAAGGGTTGTTTCAGAACTTTTCACTATTCTTGATTTGATGCGTTCATGGATAGCCAGCCATTTAAATTCGAACGTTATTGCGATTCCCCGCGATTCTCTTGTTTTATTTCAAAATGAAATTCCCCATGAATTCTCTACTTATCTTTTGGGGGTTTTCGCTGTAAATTATCAACGGCCGGAAAGCAACAAATTCATGTTCCCAAACCCCTTTTCCAACCAAGCATTCCGTATGTTCTTGTCCTCCGTTGATTTCAAGCACAATTGTTCTTAATTTTGCTTTTTCTCCAAAGCAATGTCATGGAATTTTGAGTTTTCGTGAAAATTACTAACACCATTTTTCTTTTTTTAAATTGTCGTAACCTATTTTTTCTGCATTTGCAGTTAAAGAAACGCCAATAGGAAGCTCAGAGGGAATTGTCATTAAATTTGATCTGATTTCTGTTGTTTTTCTCATGCAATTATTCGATCGCTTCCGTACAGGTATAGCCCTTTTCTTCTCTTTTTTTTTTGCATTTTTTTCCTGACTGTTATTTGCTTCGAGATTTTCTTTTGATTTTATTGTCCTATTTGATTTAGTGCTTAATTGTTTAAAATTTATGGTGAAAAAGTTTGAATTGTGATTGATATAATCAATAAACTGTAATTGGGCATTTTATCGGAACAGTTCTGTCTGTGGAAATTATTTATTCTTGTACCTCCTGCATCATGCATATGAGTGTTGTGGCTGCATGTTGCGAGGATGAAGGTAGAATTTTCATGGCAAACTTGGCTTCTACTTTGAAGATTGTTGGGGTAATCTTTTTCTGAAGATCGTTCTGATAGCTTTAATCAATTTGTTCAGGATGATTACGGTGTCTCTAGACCTAACATTATGTTTTCCCCCTTAACTAATATTTGTCCGGGTACTTCCTTAAAAACTTTAAACATACTAACTATTAACAAGCATATAAATGTGCATGGTCCCTGACCGGGGTTGCAAGGTTAGAGTTTTTCAGCACACCAATTGATGGACCTGTGTGATTCACCAGGCAATCCACAAATGTTAGTTTCAAACTCAGGATCTCAACAGGAGGGCTATGTCTTTTTGATGATGAATGAAGAATGCTTTGAATATCATTGTCACTGATGGATGTAATCTTTTAGATGGGTAGCTTAGCAGATAGCGAGTATGTGCATCTGATTGTTGTCACTTGTAACTGATGTAGGTGTGAACCATTTGGAAGAAGCAGAACCTGGGAAGGTTTTCTTTTGATGTAACTTTATTTGGTGCAAGGTCGGAGTGGAGTGAGAGATGATCTTACCAGCTTTATTGACTTCTGCTGGTTTCAATATAGTCATTTGCGTGGGGTTTTTCTCGCTATATTCCATATTGAGAAAGCAACCGGTTAATATAAAAGTTTACTTTGGGCAGAGGCTTGCCCAGCTGAAGGCACGAGGACAAAAGAATTTATTTTCCTTTGATAGGTATGTCCCCTCTGCAGGCTGGTTAGTGAAGGCATGGGAAGCATCAGATGACGACCTATACGCTTGTGGGGGTATAGATGGACTTGTATTTCTCAAGATGATTGTTTTTTGGTGAGGAAGATTTTCTTTGCCTACTTTTCCCATTGTCATGTCTTTATGTTATTTTTCCACTTTGTTTTATTATTAAATACGTACCCTGTTTGGTCTTTGCACAAGGTTGCATTTGTATGACTAAATGTTTCAATACGAGCTACATATGTTGGGGGATACTCAAGCTATATTTTGACTGGGCCTTCATCTATAAACTTAAATATTCCATTGAATTGGTGGTATATCAAGTGTGCAAATGTGAAGCCACATGAAAATCTGAAAAGCATGAATAGGTTGGCTAAGAAAGATGGAGCAAATGTTGATGAATGCATCAACTTGTTAACTTATTCGTGATTTTAAGGTTTTGATTGATATTGTCACAATTTGTAGACCAAAATGGGGGTGGGGGGAGGGGTATTCGCATCTTATTCTAGAATGTGCATTTTATATTGTTTCCTTAATAGTTTTATGCACCATTATCGAAGAATGGCCCTTTCTTCAATTTTGAATTACTCTAGGTATGCTATATCTATTATGTCTTCTTTATATTTGTAATCCATAAGCTTATCCTAAGGACCTATAGACAAAGTTCAGATGTTTGTAATACAAATAAATGGTTTATGTTTTTGATCTTTTGGCATTATGTTGATTATTTGATTACGGAATTGACCTTACATTTCTGACCTGAGAGCATCAACATTTGAAACATGCTACACACATCCACTTTTACTTTCTTATCTCCATTTATTATTTCTTACTCCCTTTATTCTCTATTTGTATTCTTATTTTGACATTGAATGTCAAACAAACTAATTCCAATTTCAAAATTGATATGAATTTGTTTAATTTATGAAGAAAAGGCTATGATGAAATCAGAAACCACAACAAGTACTATAATTAGCAGAACCGATGTTCCAACTGTTAAAAGCCACCCAAATAAGTGATTGTCGTTTACATCAAAAGATGACTACTAATAGACAATGCTGGGAGTATTATTATTTTATTTCGGTGGGTTCCTTTTAATCGAATTGTTATTTCTTTCTTTCTGTGGTGCAGCATTCGCATTTTTTCTGTTGCTGCTGTTCTTTGCATATTTCTTGTGCTTCCTGTGAACTTGTTTGGGCAAGGGATACAACAGATTAATGCTGAATCACAGATGGACATATTCACCATTAGGAATGTCCAAGAAGGTTCAAAAGGGTATGCTTTATGAATGTGTAAATATATTCATGTTGTTCCCTTGTGGTAAGAGACATGTTATTGTCCCGTAAGCATAATAATATTGATGCATAAAAAGACCTATGACCTATGATGGAACTTGATTTAGTAATTTGGTTTGGGTCCCTGCATACTATATTTGTTTCTGTTTTCTTCTTTTCTGTTGCTTATACCGTAGTTATAAGTATCCTTCACCTCTCTATTGATTTTGATAACCATTATTAAGGTCTTGCTTTCTACATAAGCTAATTACTTTTCTCGAGAAGGATTCTCATGTAAGCCAACTGATGAGGTCAATGACTGGCACTCATCTCCAAATACCATATTTGTCTGTTTCCTTTTTCCTTTTTTTTTGTTGCTTATACCGATTGAGATCCAGTTTGTTAGCAATCTTCTTGTTTCAGAATATAACAACGAAGTAGAGATATTTACAATAATTGTGGAACACCAATTATTCTTTGCTTTTCAAGGATGATACACTGGTGTTGATGGCTGTCTTGTTCATTAACATAGCTATTGTGTTTACACACTTGACATAAAGTAAAATAACAGGAGAGGCAAGTAAATGCTTTGAATGAATTGTGTTGAATACTAACAATTATGGAACTTCTAAAGAAATCCCACAAAGAGTATGTGGAAAATTCCTATGGGAACAATACACCACACAAAATCTAGAAGTAAGTGATGGTAGGACTCTTGATACAACCAATCTTTTATAGAAGCTGTAAAAATGAAGGCCACTCCTCTATTATTGTCTTTTTAGCTACCAGAAACTTTATGCTGTGATGGAACCGTTGAAAAAATATGTAAAAGATTAGGATTAGGATTATCTGATAAGTTGTTAGGTTATTGGTCCCTATTTTTACGTTTATCGTTTATATTAGGGTTAGCTTATAAAGTACAAAAGAAGCCATGGAGTGATAAATACAAACAGGGTTGGAGAAATACTCAATAGAGAGTACGTTGCTTATCTTGTGGATTTATTTTCTTTGCTCTATGGAAAGTTTGGGGACACGATGTGCATATCGTACTTGCTCATTGCATTTTCCTCAAATATATTTATTCGTCATGTCTTCTACTAAAATGTAGGTTTAAACCATTTTGTCATTTAGTTGTCTTATTCATTTTGTTCCTTGGTCTCCTTTGATTCCTAACTAGCCTCTTCTTTTTAATCTTCTTTTCCTCAGGCTCTGGGCTCACTTTTTCGCACTCTATGTCATATCTATCTGTTCTTACGTTCTTCTATACATTGTAAGCATGTAAACACTTTCCTATTGTTTAAATTTATTTCGTATATGATCGTTTTTTCAATAATTCTTTCTCACATGTGCTATAGTCTCGTTATTTCGTATATGTTCGTATAAGGATTGTTAATGCGGGAAATAAACCAAGTAATAGATTTTGGGAGATGAAATTAAATAGAATAAGAGATTCTATGCTTCACACCTAGAACGCATTAGATCTCTCGAGTATAGCACCCAATCAAAGAAAAAGATCTAGACTCTTGCATTCACACGATATCATTTTAATATGTGGTTCACATCTCTTTGGGTAGATAGACAAAATCCTACTACGGCGAATAAAAATTTACCAAAAAAGTAAAACACCCCTAAAAGAAGAAAGAATACATGGGTCTTACCTTCATTAAATCCTCAAACCATATTACATCAATTCTCATTCAATTGGGTAGGCAATAAACTTCAAGCTGTAATAATGTTGTTTGTCCCTAATCATCCACATCATTCTCCCGTCCATTCAAGAAATTTTTCCCCCAAATTTAGAAGGGTTGGACAATAAGACACAATGAGCATTACACCATACTATCTTGTAGCCATCTATAACATATGTTGCATTTGAAAATCATTTTTTCAATAGTGAATTGTCAAAAGCCAAACACCTTGTAGTGACCGCTTCTCCAAGTAAACCCTATGGATTACCAATGTTCTATGGATTAGAATTGGTAATGTATTCTTGTACTCGACATTCTTTTCTTAGACTTCGTCGGAAGCTCAATTCCTATCCTTCTCCTTTATTGAAGTTCTCAGACTTGATGACTTCCACAAATATGCTACCATCATATTTTATATTTAGAGTACATTTCAAATTTGGTCCTTGTGCTTTGTTGTTTTTCTTGGCTTAGGTCCCTATAAAATTTTTATTGCAAGAAAACCTCTGTGCCTCTATGGTATGAAATAGTGCTTGGTTTGGATCCCTGCCTGCCAACACTGTTAAAACAATTTGTTAAATCAAGTATTGTGGTTATTTCACTTTTTAGTTTAATTTTCTACTAAAAATGATTTAAGAATTTTGTTAATTTAATTAATTTACTTTTTTGTCTTTTTATCAATGATCGCACCTCCTTCCCCACTGTTGTTACCCAACTCCGGCCATCTTCTACGGCTGCCACCACCGTCGTGCACCGTTATCCACCACCAAAAATCTAATCAAATCCAAACCTCAAAGCTAAAAACAAAATAAAAACCCAAATTTAGACCTCAAATCAAACCCAACCCCAAATAAAACAGATTCATACCTTAAATATTGAATTACTAACAAAATCCAAAAGAGAAATGACTGTAAGTGAATAAAACACAGAGCCATCATCGACCTTTCATGACCTCAAACCCTAAACATAAAAACCTTACAATCGCAGAAAGGTTGCAGGTGAAGGGGCGATACTGTGTAATGATGCATATTACTTATAATTCAAGATTACAAGTAAATTGCAAGTATGTATAACTTATTAAAGCACTATATTTGAATTGGTGTAACTAACTGCAGATGAACATAATTAAATATTGGACAACTATCTCATTTTAAATATAAAAAATGTAAAATACATTTAGGATAATCATTAAATTCCAACAAAATACTAATTATTATCTTTATAAAAAAATATATTATTAAACCAAAAATAATGACTTTATTATTAAATTGAAATTAAATTATAATAAAAAATTGAATTAAAGAAATTACACAAAAAACAAGAACTTTTAAGTATTTAACTTGATACTAAATCTACACATTTTTTCAAAATTTTATGATACCTTCAAATTTATATTTTTTTTCAAAAAACAAAATTATTATCGTTTTTCAGTACCATATAAAATTGTGTCATACATTGATGAAAACAGAATAAAAACGAAACGTTAAAATCGATATGTATCTCGCTGCATTGCACAAGTACCATTCTAGTATATACATATATATTAGCGCAAATTACATTTTTAATCCTTGTAATAATGTAATTTTAATAATTGATTATTTATTAAGTAAAATGAGATAAATGCATAAAAAAGACCAAAACACCCCTTGATTTAACGACTTGTTTTAACGGTTTTAGTGGGTAGGGATCCAAACCAAGCACTTTTGCATACCATGACGGTTTTCTTGCAATACAAATTTCATAGGGACCCAAACCAAGAAAAACAACAAACCATAGGGATCAAAATTGCAATTTACTCTTATATTTATTATGGGATAAGGATGGTTTTAGACAAAAAGTGGTAAAAGATCTTTAGGGGAATGATAATCTTTCCTAGAAATCTAGTGAAGTAGGTAGAACAAAAGCTGAGTGACAAAAGCATATAGCGACAACCCCACAAACCTCTTTCTTCAAACACTAAAGTACTTGCAATCCACACAATGTAGTAGTAAATAGTGCAAAGGTATTATAACAACCAAATGAAAAGAGCGTTTGGAGATGCTAGCTAACCAACATTTGTTTCATATCTAGGGTTTATGATGGTAGCGACATTTAGGCTTGATAATGGCTATAGTGATAATTTATTTGGGGGAATTTGTCGCAACAAGCATTTTATGGCTTACCTTTTGCTTATTGTTTGTGATAGGGTAGTGTTATACATTGCCTCTTTCGACATCTTGTTTGTAACACTTGTGATTGATGGTTTGCCTCTTCTAATGATTTCCCAATAATTAGGTATGTTGATTTTGTCCCAACTTGGATAGGTACCCGGTTCATCTACCTCGACCAATGGAACAGTATAGGAGAATCAAGATAGAAGAATCAGGGATGATGACGGCGAACCCTGGCCCATCCCTACCTACTTTCCATCCCTAATTTGGAGTGCATTTAAGAATGTTAGGGATAGTATCGCATTCTAGAGATGTTCTCCTAAGAGAGTACAATCTTTCGCGGTCTTTGCATAACAAGTTGGTGTTGTTTGTGGAAACGAATTAATCGTTGATTGCAAGGCTAGATGAAAATCTATTGTCTCATGTTAAATGTTGCTTTAGAGTATAAATATTTTTATACATGTGAGCAAGAAGGAGAAACACTATTTTGCTTGCTTGGTGAAAATGAATGTGAGAACCGCGTAAGATGTTTGTGAAAAATTGAAGTTATTCTATTTTGTGATTGAGATGTTCTATGGAACGAAGTATCCCACTTCAAACATCTTTCCTTTGATTTGTGAAATGAAAGTATTTTTGTTGAGTTTGCAAGTATTAGGGGAATGGTTCCAATGGATTTGTATTAGCAGGTAAGAGGTCAACATCCTTGTAGAATAAGTGGGAGATCTTGGGTTTAACTCTAGAAACCACCCATCAGCCCCTCGGAGACATGATTTACCTCCCCCATAATAGTCGTGGGATTGGTATGGTGGGAGCTCTCTACGTGGTGGCATCATAGCCTTTTGCAAGATATTATCAGGGTAATGATGTCAATTATGTTGGTCAAATTTGAGAAATACTGGAATGTCTTATATGATGTGTGGGCTGGACATGGGCCAGGGAATCCCTATATTCCCTGATGGGGACACGGTAGGAGGGATGGGGATTGCGAACCCCACCCCATTCTCATCTGTACCAACAACTAAGAAGTAGATTGAGAAACCAATCAACTTGTGCTCTAATAATGCCAACTAATCCATATAACTTATAAGCAATCAAAAGTCAGGAGAAAGACAAGTAAAACTGAACTAGGATTCTAAGCTTCACATGTAAAATATGCCATATCTCTTAGCATGCCCTTTAACTTATAAGGCTATCTCATTTAAAGTGGATTATTTATCAGTCAAGGTTAGTTCATATCATCTAGTCTTCCAACTCTGGGAATTTTAGTGGCTTTAGTGAAGAGACATAATAAGTAATTTGCCTTTGGAGTCTCAACTACCAAAAATCCTTAATTATTAATGTTAAAATGCTAGTTTCTCCAATTCCTACCAAATTGAACACTAATAAAATTTAAATAGCATTCTATTTTAGTTTTGTTTTGCCCTAATCCTATTTTCCCCATAAATTTTGTTAGTTAAGAGAGTGTAGTTTGATAATCTTATAAATAGTTTTGTTTTGCCTTAATCTTGTTTTCCCTATTGTTGATTTGTTAAATTTGATGAGAAGTTAATTTAGATTTTTAATGAGATTAATTAAATCGGATTCAATATTAACATCGTGATATCGTTTGTTCTTTATATATTATATATATATATATATATAATACTATTGAACATGCAAAGCATGGTGTCTCCTATATGTAGCATTTTTGTTAGTTTTAAGTAATTCCATATCATAGAATTTTTATTTGAAGCATTTGTGTAGTTGTTGCATGAATCATGGTTACTTGTCAATTTTAATGAATGCTAGAGATATTTTAACGAAGGATTAATGATTCAAACCATCAAAATGGGCTTTGTTGCAAACAGGTTGTTCTTACGAAAATTTAAAATAAAAATTACTTTGCAAGAACTAATAATTTGGACAAATTGTCTGAAGTATGATGTGTTCTTTTTGCATTTGATTTTCACAACCTATCCAAAATTGTTCAATTCTATGAAGTGTACTGATCCTTTCATAAGAACAATGATTTGATTGCAATAAAAAACCATGTAATGGTTGAAATAATCAATCATCTCAAACTGTAAAGAAAACATAATGATGATAAAAATAGCTAAAACAGGTATTTCAAGTAATGGAATTAGATACATATAATGGTGACCAACAATTGTGGAACTCATGGTAAGGTAACTACAAATATTATATTGGTAAATTCTATAGGGTTGGTGGAATGACAAAAAGTGATACTAGTTCGATATTGTTAGCTATGCACTAATGGGAAAATTAATTCTACTTTATTAGCAAGACACAAATAAATTATTTCACAGCAGCTGTCAGTGGCTGAGTTTTGATGCACACATACATGTCTAGTTTGAGTCTTTATTGCATTTAGTCATAACTTATTCCCACTTCATCACTCTTCATTACAACTAGATATATGAAATTGTTTTGTACCTTTAGTCTCCCTCCGTATTGAACATATAAGAATGTCAAGTACTTCTATCTATATGAAGAATGGAACAGATCCCATATGAGAAAAGTATGTGCTTTTTTTCATTATTTGTTTATAATAGGTGGTCTTATGATCCACCTTAGGAGTTCAAGAGCGTTGCAAGGATGAGGCTGGAGCAAGTAATTAGGTTTCCAACAAGGCCAAGTCACTTCACAGTTCTTGTTCGTGGTATACCATGGATTCCAGGATTATCGTACAGTGAAGCTGTGAGCAAGCACTTCGGTAGTTATTATGTATCAAGTTATCTCGCACACCAAATGGTCTATCGATCTGGTACAATCCAAAGATTGATGGTAAGCATATGCATTTGGTCATATGTTTGTTTTTACTAATTTTATAAGTGTACTCTAATTACTAGTTCAACTGTGTTTTTTTTTTTCACATAGTTCTCTATGCCTTGGATCATATTCCTGGTCATCTGAGCTACAATCTCTTTTTATAGCACTAGGCTTTTCTCGTACCTCCTTTGGTTATAAGTTGATTTTGGTGATATCCTTATTAAAATGCTTGGGAAATTAATGAACTCTTGATTTGTAAGTACCATTATGGTATCTTAGTTCAATTTTCCAGTGATAGCATTTGCCTAGAGTTACCAATGTACATGTACGGAAGAGGTAGATGATACGGGCGTAGGTTCATATGCTTAGACTGTTTAATTCTAATTTTCATAACTTCACAATATGAGTTGTTTGGTACCATGTCAAACTTTTTCAAGGTTGATGTAAAATATTTGGTGGCAGAAGTACCATGGTTGAAAGTTAAAACACGATTTTTTCCGGTCAACTAAATGAGCTTATCTAGGATAGGTTCACTTAGAGCATTCTTTGAAAAGCATGATATGCGTGTGGTTTAGGTATGTATGGGCTAATTTGGCATCACGGATATTTGAAAATGTGGCATTAATTGGCGCTTTGTTTTTGGAGGGTACATCGTAGATAAATGTTGCTAATCTAGAGTAGAGCATGTTATGGTATGAAGAGAAAGCAATTCTTGTTGAAACCGTGTCTATTTTCATTTGGCGAAGATGACAATATATAAAATCATAGGTCATGAGTCGGGACAGTTAACCCCTAACAGTAGAAATAATAATATAGACATCATGACTCAATATCTCACACTCCTCAGGTTGAGCATAATATTCCAAATATGTGCAACTTCCGTGACCTTCATGGCTTTGTCAATATATGGACAACCTGATCTCTTCAAAGAATCCAAAGTGGCTCTATAGGTAGGGGCTAACTAGGGTTTGGACCACTTCTTCACTGAGAAAGTGGCATGTGAGAAAGTGGGAACCATATTCATTATGCTTTATCCCTTGAGAGAGATTTGGTTCTTAGAGATATGCATAGTGACCTCATTGCCACCATACATTTTAGCAAGCAAAATGAGCTTCTTGTTCTCGATTATGTTTAATTTATGACCATAATACGCCTATTTATACACATAAATACAATATTTCTCCCCGCCTATAACTTCATAGCTATAGGGATTAGTTGATCCTAAAAGAACCTTATTACAACATTAACACCTCCCTCAAGCCTATGCATGGATATGAAACATGCTCAACTTTGGTCGTAGTTGTTTAGAAGCTCCATAATGGAAGAATTTTTATGAGAATACCTGTCATTGTGAAATTTTTCTTTGGGTTATGACAAATGCTCACTACTGCATAATTGTCACAATACAACTTCATAGGAATAGTTGCTTGGATCTTTAGTTCTTCAAGCACCCTTTTTGGCCGGATATCCTTGCATATTCCGTAATTGATTGCTTCTTGACAGGGCCAGCCCTAGTGTTGGCCGGGCCGGGCCACGTCCCAGGGCAGCACAAGCCCAAGGGCATCAACTCATTGCGGGGGGTGGGGGGTGTTACTATTAATAAAAAATAGAGGCATGATAGATTTGAATCCTAGACCTCTAGTATCATCACAAACAGGGTTACCACTAGGCTATTTGTGTTTTTGGTTAATTTGTATCATCATTTTAATTTTATACTTCTTTCCTGATTTTTCTTATTTTAGATCTTTATTTTCTTTGTCTTATTTTAGTACAATAGATATTTATCTAAGATAAAATTAAAAACTAAATAAACTAATCACATCTGACAATAAATATTTTGTAAGGAATTTTGTTTTGAAAAACTTTATGATCATACCTAAAAACTTATTATTTTGTTCTGTGTGTAATTTCGTCAAATACTTTATGCAAGAAATTGGTAAGTTATCTTTTGTTTTTGCATCTAATGCACATGTATGCTCTAGTTTTCAACAAATATGAACCTGCTACAAAATAACTCTATTTATACCATGTTTGAGAATTAATTGGCTTGAACACTTCTTGAGCACATCATTTATACAACCAAGTTACTCTAGGAACAATGAATATAGGATGTTGATTGTTTTAGCAGAAACACATGTCAGTTTACTATGTGCTAAATGTAGTTTATTTCGATTTATTTCGAATGGTTTCTTGACAATAAGAACTACTACCTTGCATTTACATGAAATTTTAAGAATTATAAACCATTGAACAAAAGTTTTTATGTTATCCCTAGCGAAATGCACACTGTAAGTGGATTTGTTGCCGGTAACATCATTTCAACATTGTAACAAATGACAAAAGATTAGATTCAAAAAAATAAAATTGGGACCACTTCTAGTTGTTTTCGTCCAGGGCATACAAATATCTCAGGACCGACCCTTCTTCTCGATGGACCATGTTACTAAATTCTCCCATACATAGGTACACTAGTTGCTTCTTGACCTTCCATCAATGGTTGACCCTCCCCAATCAATGTGAGTTTAGATTTCTACATCCTTGTTCATTTTTCGAAAAATTAACCCTTTGCCAGGAGCCCCCACGTATCACAATTTCCAGTATACCACATCCACATTCTTTTGTTTAGGAGGATGCTAAACTAACTAACAACACTTACCACAAAAGCAATATTGGGGTTTGTACGAGAAAGATAAATTAATTTCCCTACTAATCTCTCGTATTTTTCCATGTCAGCTTCCTAACTTCCATCTTCAACGTGTGGTTTGGTTTGGTTTCGTTACTATCAAGATTGAGTTTCCTAATGTTTGGCTTGTGTTTTGGATGAAGTGTCCTGATGAGAAGAATTGGAGTATCTATTGGTTTGCTACCTGACAACCTGCACTATGAAAGGAGGTTTAGGATGTACTTTCTCTAAATCTTATCTTTTTTCTGCAAAGGGAACATGTCAATCCTAGGACATAACGGAGGCATTCCATGTCCGTTAACCTATAATGTTCCCCAAAAAGAGCCTTTAGCTAATTTGTCTAAAAAACATTGGTAATTGTCTAAAAATTTGAAGATACACTAGGAAGGTCCGATAGGATTATATTGTGACAAGTCAACCATCAATATCGCTCATAACCCTGTACAACATTATCGAACAAAACACAATGAAATTGATGGATACTTTATTAAGGAAAAACTTGATACTGATCTTATTTGCACTCTGTTCGTCCTATGAAGGATCAACTTGTAGATGTACTAACAAAGGGTCTGCCAAGAAGGATGTTTAAAGACAAAATTTGCAAACTTGGAATGGAAGACCTCCAGTCATCGACTAGAGGGGGAGTGTTGAATTATAGGAAAAGGAATCCTTGTAATTGTAGAAGATTTGTTGCAATCCTTATTTCTTAGGGATTTCTTAGATATTTTCCTTATCTTAGATTATTGGTGCTTCAGATCACACGACAGTTAATTCTAATATTTCCTCTGAATTCCATACCCAACATCCATCATTCCATGCCATAATTGTTGATGGTGCTACCTTACGTATTCTTGGATCTAGCAAAGCTAACTTTACACCTATTTCTTTATCCAGTGTATTGAGCCTACCTAATTTCTTTTTTACTTTACTGTCTGTCACTAAACTTATCCGCAATTTGAACTCTAGTGTCTTTTTTTTTTCCTGCTCCTTGTGTTCTTCAAGATCTTACAACAAAGCAGATCATTGGTAAAGGCATGGTGTTAAAACTCTTTTGAGGCGTACATGAAGCGTCTCCTCTCAATGCTTGCATGAAGCATGCGCCTTGCATGTGTGAGGTGGTGGGTAAGGTGGTGAGGCGAGGCTGAGGCTGAGGCTGAGGCATAAGCCCCTCTTCATGTGATGTGCATGTGGAAGTGATGACACATGGGTTAGTGCGTGTGTCAATTTTTATTATATAAATACAAGGATATACGTCAAACCCTAATATTATAACATATAACCAGTGGTTTCTTCTTTTCAAAACCTCAGTCACAGCTTCTTCTCCTTAATCTACAAACCCTCCTTGCTGCACTAGAAACTTTTACCTGTTGCTGCAACAAGTATTATATATTTTGTATATGTGTAATTTATATATTTTATTTGTTGGTATATGATATATACATATATATATATATTCTGTTTCTGGTTTGTATAAAATATAAATGTATTATGTTTCCGGTATAATATATATATATATATATATATTTTGTCCTGTCCAATTTATACAAAATATAAATGTACGTATATATATATATTCAAAGTGAGAGACATGAAGAAGGAAATATAATTTATTTACAGTGGCTAATATATGATTATATATATATTTTGTGTCCATAGTTCATTATCCTATTTGGTTTCTTAGTTTGTATATGTAATGTATTTCTAATAAATGATAACAATAAAATCTTCTAATATTAATTACAACTATATATGTGTTGAGATTCTAATACTATATATTAGAGGCGAAAGATTATGTGAGAAGGGAAGTTATGGTGAGAATCGTAAGAAGAGATCTAAACAAAAACGTGTATCACTTTTAATCCCATGTCTACCCATGAATTGTGCCTTAGAAGGGAATTGATATGGTGCATCTTGGTGCACCTCACTAGTGTTGAGATTCAAATTAGGATTGATCCAACGGTAGAAATCTCTTCTTACGCTTCTCACCGGAACCCAACCCATATATTAGATATGTCTTAATATATATAAATATTTTTACTTTATTTTATTTCTGCCTTAGGATTATGCCTTGGACCGCCTCGAGGCTTACGCCTCACCTCGTCGAGGGAAAATACCTTGGACCGCCTCCAGACTTACGCCTTGCCTCGTCGAGGGAAAACGCTTCAAGGCCCGATGCTGCTTTTTAAGCTATGGGTAAAGGATGAGAATCTGATGGCCTCTTTATATTTGAACCTCAAGCACCTAACTCCTCCATATGCTAAAAGCCATCCTCATCTCCAATTCGAGGAGCAAATTCAATTAGGTCATCCATCTCTCCGAAACTTGAAGAAAGTGCATCTCCAATTTTCTCATTTGTCATCTGTAGAGTGCGACTCTTGTCAATTTGTAAAACTTTATCATTCTCATTTTAGTCCTTGGGTTAATATGCGAGTTATGTCCCCCTTCGAATTAGTTCATTCCAATGTATGGGGTCTGTTACATCCAAAACAGGTTTTAAATATTTGTCACCTTTGTTGCTGAGTACACTTGTCTTGCTTGTCTTTATTTAATGAAAACTTGATCTGAGGTATTTACACATTTTTGTTCTTTCTGTGTTGAAACAAACACACGGTTTGATATTTAATTAGACCTTGAGCAGTTATAAGTCCAAAGTATATCTATGTGCATCTTTTAATCTTACATGCTTCAACATGGTATTCTTCATGAGTCATCTTGTATTGACACCCCTAGCATAATAATGGGGTTGCTGTCACCTTTTTGAGGTTGCTATATCACTACTGTTTCAAATGGCCGTTCCAAAACAGTTTCGGGCTGATGATGTTTCAAGGGCTGATTTTCTAATAAATCATATGCCTTTGATAGTTCTTGGTGGTGATGTCCCATTCTCGATACTTTTCTAGAAAAAAATGTGTTTCCCATTAAACATAAGATCTTTGGTAGTACTTGCTCCGTCCACAATAGTAGACCTCATATCACCAAGCCTGATTCAGAATCTTTAAAGTGTGTCTTCCTAGGCTATCATCGTCTCTAACAAGGGTAGAAATGCTTCTTTCCTACACAATCATTATATTGTTTCTCGAGACATTAATTTTCATGAAAATACTTCGTTCTTCCTGGTATTCACCACCAGTTACCAGGATGAGGATGACCATTTGTTGATCTATACGATACCTTCTCTTGCATCTACTCTTGAGCTTTCTGTAGAGTCTCCGTGCACATCTCCTTTGGAGCCTGGACCTGTTGTTCAAGTGTATCTGATGCGACATTGTCCTATGATATATCTCGATCCTTTGCCACCCTCATTCTGGATGGCGTGCTGCTATAGTTGAGGAAACAAATGCCCTTGATCATACATGGACATTGGTAGATTTACCTGCTAAAGTCGGGTGTAAATGGGTGTTTACAGTTAAGTAACAGCGAGATGGATTTGTGGCTCGCCTTAAAGCTTGTCTTGTTGCCAAGGGATATGCTCAACAGTATGGAGCTAACTACCCTGGCCTTTCTCTCTAGTTGCTAAACTAACTTCTGTTCGACATTTTCATCTCCTTTGCAGCCAACTCTGATTGGCCTTTACATTAGCTTGATATCAGAAATGTTCTTCTTCATGGTTCTCTTTAGGAAAAGGTCTATATGGGGGAGTATGGGAAAGTATGTCGCCACCATAAACCCTTCTATGGGTTGAAGGAGAGTCATTGAGCATGGTTTGGCATCAGATTGTTTTAAAATATGCAATGCACGAGCGTAAGTCTCATCGTACGGTGTTCTACAAGTGGTCTAAAAACGATGTGATCTTACTTGTGGTTTACGGTGATGATATTGTGATTATGACAAGCGAACAATCGAGGCATATTAGAACTTTAAGACATTTCTTTGGTCTCAATTCCAGACAAAGGATTTGGGACCACTAAAGTATTTCCTTGGAGTAGAGATCATGGGGAACAAAAAAGGGATTTTCTTATCTCAAAGAGATCATGGGAGCTAAACCATGTAGCACCCTACTAATTCCCAATGTACATCCAAGAAAAGATGATGCAGGACCATTTCCTAACCCAGAAAGGTATAGGCGACTTGTTCGAAAGCTGAATTAGCTTATGGAAACACAACTCAACATCACTTATGCAATTAGTGTTGTCAGTCGCTTTATCTCGACTCTAACAACTAAACATTGGGCCATATTAGAACAAATTCTTCGCTACTTAAAGGTGCCCTGGCTCGAGGATTGTTTGATGGACCCCATAGTCATTCTAAAGTAGAATGCTTCATTTTGAAGCTTTTTTGGATGCAGATTATGGTGGATGCCGAAGGATGGCAATAGATCCACCTCAGTATAATGTGTGTTTGTTGCCGGTAATTGGTTTGATGGAGTAACAAACAGAATGTGGCATCTCGCTCAACAGCTGAATCAATATAGGGCAATGGCTGACTCGGTTTGTGAGATAGTATGGATACATCAGCTACTTAAGGAAATTGGTATGTGCTTGCCCTTCTGGCAAAGCTTTGGAGTGATAACGAGGCAACCTTTCATATTGCTTCAAATCCTGTTTTTCACGAACAAAAACTATGCATATCGGTATCAATTGTCATTTTGTTCGAGACAAGATTGAAGAAAGGTACATTACGACATGACATGTTCCTATCCTGCTACAAAAAAGATTAGTTGGGAGACATTTTACAAACGAAGTGAGTGGGAGTGAATTGACTGATCAAGCTGGACATGATCAATTTTTCTCTTGATTAGGAAATTATAGACTTGATTCTCTATAAAAACCTTGTATAAACGTATGTCATTGTGTATGTAATATATTCAGAGAAATACAATTGGCATGGATTACAATGTTACTTATTTTTGTAATACAACTAAGAATTGAAGCTTTGCACCCTAAAAAAATTAATGTGATGGGACATTTTGCTTAAAAAATATAAGAAAAAGAAATATGAAGCATTGGGATATAGGGTGTCATAATCTGTAAGCAGAACTAGGCTTTGGGCCACTTTTAAGTTGATTCAAGTAGCTATTGGTTGGATATTGGTTCATTGCAATTGTCTATTGATTGATTCTACCATGTTTAAGCAAAGTGTATACTCTAGAAAAAAGGCTTATAGATGCAGGGAAGTGTGTTGTTGATATGAAGCATAATGTATCTGGTCACATTTTTCGACTTCCCTTCTAAACCATGCTTAACTTTTGTACCCGACCTTGTTTTTTCAGATGGATGCAGAGAAAATGTATAAGGTGCTCAAGGACACTCCTATAAATCAATATTTGGCACCAACTACAGTGGGGTGTGGCCAATGTGCAGGGCACTCAAACTCCTTTAAAATGCTTACTTGTGAATCAGATAGTGATGTCAAGAAACCTAACCAACAGAATGAACCAGATCTAAAAGAGCAGGTCAGAAGTTATGCATGAACATTGATCGTCTCTTTGTTATGTTTAATTGTATTTCTGCTGATTACTGTCTTCTTTTAGTCCTTGCTAGTAAAAACTTGGGTTGCTGCTTTAAGAAAACATTGAACTTTAGGTTATTGGCAAATTATGCTTCTTCTGTCCATGAAATGTTGAGGGTTATTGGTACATTTATTGAACTTCTTCTGTAATTAAAGGCGAGACATCATGCAAATGGTTTTTTGTTTTTGAATGGTCTACTTTCCATGATCCATATGGAATAAGTCTGTGCCAGTGCTACTATTTGGTACCTGTAAAAGTCTTCCCTTTCCAATGTTTTTAAGTAATTGACTGACCATTTAGCCATGCCTGTGAGATAACGAAGAAGTTTAGTTACTTGAGTTGATGCAGAATTCAGAGATTTTGATCCATATGAAGAGAGAAGTCACTACCAATGCTCCTATCTGGCAGTTGTGGAGGTTTCCCATCTTTAAGTTAAAAACTTGAGTGGCCATTTAGCTCTGCCTATGTGATCTCCAAGAATTTTAATCACCTTTATTAAGGTGAACTGAACATACCTAACATATCCCACCAGGAAATAGGATCTGGAGGTAAGTTGTATGCCGACCTTTTCTCTATGCCAAATGGTAGAGAGGCTGTTTCCATGTAAACAATATTGACCTTGACCCCAGGAAAAATAATTTTGTCACTTCTATTATTTGTGATAATTGGAGAAGATATTGACTTGGCCCTGAAAAAATGTCAACTGCTGATCTTTAAGCAGAAGAACAATTTTCGTAACTGAAAATATAAAACATGGATGTCAATTTTGTATAGGAAGATACTAGTAAGGGCGAGTTTTCAAAATCGAAAGTGGACATAACTTTATGGGGAGTATGAAATATTTAGTTATAAAGTGAAATGAATCATAATCTAATTCATCTATGCTTATCACTTCTTAAAAGTCCTCTCTTGACTGTCTTAAAGAAAAATAAATAAAATCATCTGCTAAAAGATTTCCACAGAAATCTGTGTGGTCTGAACTGCTAAGTGGTGAGCCCTTTATATTATAGTATCTGAGATCTATTATGATCTGTTTGTAGTTTTCTTTTGACCATTTTCAAACTGTTCAAAAGACCAATACTCTGGGTTCTGAAGCCACATTTAACCATTAGACATAGATGAACGCAAAGAGCATCATAGAATTCAAATTGCCTTTGATACTTTTTTGTTTGGTGGATTACTTTTTGTTTCCTTCCCCTTGTTTATTTTTGTGGTAAGTTTATTTTTTGTAGAAATTTGTTTTTCCTTTTGCAGAGAAATATGTAATTTGGTTCATCTGATATCTTGCTATCAGTGGTATACATGTTATGTTCTCTTGCATTTGAAGTATGCTTCTATAGGCAAGTCCAGTCATCACTTCAAATATTTCTTGTTTTGATGCAGGAGTGTGCAGCTGCATTCGTCTTTTTCAGGACCCGATATGCTGCTATGGTGGCTTCACGTACCATCCAAGTATTAGACCCGATGTTGTGGGTGATAGAGTTTGCTCCAGAGCCACATGATGTTTACTGGGAAAACCTTTGTGTACCTTATAGATTGCTTTGGATACGTAAAACATTGGTGTTTATTGGCTCTATTATCTTCAGCTTGTGGTTTCTGTTGCCTACAACATTAGTTCAAGGTCTCGTCAATATCGCTCAGCTGGAGTCCACGTTTCCATTCCTAAGAGGGATATCACAGAAGTAAGTAAACTTCCTGTAAACTGATATTGATTAAAGAAACAATTGTGATGATACACATTGTTATCAGCATTACAATTTCTTTATCTAGCAAACAAATCCCAAACTTTTAATGAACAAAAAGTGAACTAGATTAAATAACCTCTTCACTAATAAGTACCTTTGTTTCTTCATTCTGAAATTCTATCTTCTTCTTTTCAATCAATTTCTTTTTTCACTTTTACTAAGTTGCACATGACATAAAGAGTCTACCTGATTGCAATTTGTAGATTGTCCACCGATATTAGTGCATTAAACCTCAGTAAGTGACACAAATTGGATAAGTGCTAACCGAGTAAGAGTCCCCACCCTCACTTACATTACAGGATAAGATTCTCGGTCATACAAATAGCATAGTATTAGTGTCTTTTAGGCGGTAAGTGCTAACCGGGTAAGAGTGACCACCACCACTTACCGGGCAAGATTCTCGGTTAGCAAAATGACACGGTAAAATTGTTGGTAAGGGCATCATCTCTGAGTAAGTGGCAATAAGTGTTTAGGTACCTGGTAAAAGGCTGTAATTTTGATGATTCTTTTCTTATTCATTACACACCAGTACTTTTCATCTTTTGGAAAGAAAAAAAGTTTAATTATAATATCACCCATGTCCAAAATCATTTGTGTTATAGCTTACGCTGATGCATCTCATCAAGGTGATAATTGCGTCAAGTTGAGTAAAAAGTTATAGTTTATCAAGTAATGAAGTAAATACATTCGAAGTTTTTCCCAGCGATACAGGACGAGAAGCTATACTTATCAGGAATAAGTTACTCCCCTCCCCCAAAAGAATAATATGAAATAAAGTAAAAGAATCATATTCATTTGCATTCAGATAAGATTGATGTTCCCAAGTTATCTTTCCATGTTCGAAAGATACGTAAAGTGTGATTTTGTTGATTTTTTATTTAATCATGTGTAAAATTGTCCAAGAATTGTCATCAATCCCTTCTAGATTTTAACGAGATAAGTAGATCTCACAGTTTAATTAGAAATTTTCTACTTATGCAGATATTTCTTAGTTGTATTATGCATTGGTTCCAGAAAGGATTTTGCAGTTCTCTTTAGGAAATATGTGATTTTACTACAAGTAGGACTAAATTGCCTTAAAGTTGTTCCACTGGTGGTTTATGCAATGTTGGAGCTTGCAACCAACACTTTGGGCGTCTAATGGTTTTAGATTAGGTCTAAAGAAAATTGGTAAGTACAACTTCTTATGGTGTTTGATAAGGTAATGGACGATGCTGTCACCGTATAGAAAAGAAGTTTAGAAGGATATCATTTGTTATATAGTATTAGTTTTACTGAAAGATGCATAAGTTGTGGGATGTTAGGAGTATTGTATAAGAGCAAGGTGGTTGAAACGATGTAATAAAAATGCGAATATTGAGATGGAAGTGTGGTCATACGTCACAAGGTTCGGATTAGACACTGGTTCAGGGGAACACACCATTTGGTTTTTTTATCCTGCCCAAGTTTGGGATAGAAAAGATAATTTTGTTGTTGTCTTTAGTCATAGCGATGTAATTAAATTTCCAGATTCTTTGACGGAATCCTTTTCACAGTTATGTAACAGAAATGCCTAGTTGCTTCAAGGCTATGCATTTGGTATCTTATGTTTAAAGTGATGGTCGTTCCTTCAAAAGATAATGCTAGTCCGTCAAGGAACCACTTCATTTTACAAACACCTTGTTAATTAAGACAGCACTTAACAATTGCATTGTTGTGTCATCATAACTTAATCCTAAAGCTGCTTCTTCTAACCACAAAAGTTCCATGTTTACGGGGTCCCTTTCTGCATCAATGTGGGAAAAGATGAAAAATTCAGTTAGCATATTCTCCTTTTCTATTGAGCTCTGAAGTGAAAAAATTCGCATTTACATATGTACAGTATTTGTTTTTTAAGGTGTACTAGATCTATAAAAATAATCAATCATACAAAAAGCTTCGGGTATGTAACTAGTAAATACCTAGTAAACTTATTTTTATTGAACATTGCAGGAGTTATGCAAACATTGTTCAGGGGTATCTGCCAAGTTTGGTGCTGACATGTTTTGCTCTAATCGTTCCACCAGTAATGCTAATGTTTGCTACACTTGAAGGAGCAATTTCTCGTAGTTCGAGGAAAAAGAGTGCTTGTAACAAATCTATAATTTTCTTCTTTTGGAATGTTTTCTTCTACAACCTTTTCACGGGTACTTGGTGGGATCGTATAACTAGATTTACTGTTACTGGTCTAAAAGACATGGCTACTTTACTTGGCAATTTGATTCCTGGCCAGGTAAAATTTCTTTCCAATCTCCTTTCTCCCTATAATTACTGCTTCTTCAGTGATCAATTTGCCTTTTGAGTAAAATGATATTTTTCCTGGTTAATTGTCAAGTAAATGAGCATTCAAATTCAACACAGGATATAAGATGTATGACTGTCGTCTATGCATTTATCATTTCCTTTAACTTGCAACATCTGTTTTGTAAAAAAGGCTGTATGACACAAAAGGAAATAGTGTTGGGATAAATACAAGTTTGTTTCTGAACTTCGTTATAGTCAATATCCTTTTGCATATTCTCTATCTGTTTTGGCTTCCTAATGTCTTTGTTTAACGGATCATTATTTGTGATAACAAGTAGATTAGTATAGATTTCTTGATAAGGTCTAGTTGATCTAATTAGTATAGATATCTTCTTTGTCTTTGATTCTTGTTAGGATTGCTAAACTTATACTCCATCTCAAGGAAATTCTAGCCAAACTACTACTATTTCAAGTTCTGGAAACTTTGGAACCTCTCTTATTACCTGTCACCAACCGAGTGGGCAAAATTTTCTTCAATGGCCACAAACTGTGTGGATGTTTATTTGTGGCAAGAGGCGAGGAAGAATCATCATGGATTTTGGTACCCAGAAGGATGATTCCTATTATAGAAAATTGTAGGCAGAAAATCTTCAAATAAGGTCATTGCTTATCAATTCAATGAACACCAATTTTAAGGAGAGCTTTCTCCTTTACGAGATTGCACATGAAATCTGGGTAGGAGTGAAAGAGACGTATTCTAGTTTGGAAAACACCTCAGAATTATTCGCTATTGAGTCAGTTCTTCACGACTTACGACAAGGAGATTTATCGGTAACACAATACTACACTGCACTAGCTCGGTATTGACAACAGACCGGCATGTTTCAGAATAACGGTTGGCAATGGCCGACAATAATATTTTGTATTACAAGATAGTAGAACAGAAGAGGAACCTCATGATCTTATTGGGCTTGAATAAATGCTTAGATGATGTAAGTCGAAGAGTGATTGGATCAAAGCCTTTGCTGAAGTTTGTTGTGAAGAGAGTAAAAGAAGAACCCCTCTCCAAGAATGCTTGATGGCTCCGCTCTCAATTTTCATGGTTCGTGATTTACGTGCCAATAAGATACTCGTTATCATAGAAAATTGAAACCTTGGTGTGATCATTGGTTGAGACCATACCAAGGAAACTTGTTGGAAAATACATGGCAAACCAAGAGACTGGAAGCTGCTCAGATGAAGCAATGGTAAGGATAGTCTTGCAAATTCAGCCAACATAGTATGGATCAACTAAATACACCGAAAGCAAGCCCTTTTACCAAGGAACAACTCAAAGAGCTCAAACAGCTTCTAAACCATTCATTTTCCCAAACTATTGTTTCGATCTCCTCTAGCAATATGCAAAAAGGAGCATGTAAGATTCTATCGGCTTTTCAAGTAAATCAGAGCTCTTAAACTATTGGATTATTGACTCTGGAGGTTCAGATCATATGCCTGCAAACGAGTCATTGTTTTGCAATTACGAGCTTCACTTCACGAACTTAACTGTTCGAATTGTGGATGGATCCTTGTCCAAAGTTGTGGGATAAGGATAGTTCAACTCAATTAGATATAAGTCTAATTTATTCTCATATCCCTAAACTGACTGCAATCTAATTTCTATTGGTAAGTTGACTCTTTTGGAACCAGACCTGCACATGAACAGCACCACAGTCCAAATACGCAAGGTAAAAAAAGACTCAATGTTGGGGCGATTTTCTAAATTTTATTACTCAACTAAAGGAAAACTTTCTGCTTGATTACAAGGAAAAACTACTACTATTTAAAGCTGAAAAAAAACTAAACAGTAACCCACGTACTCCTAGGCTATAGGTAACCCACTACCCATTATTCTCCACCAAACTTGGTCAACTCAAGACCAAGTCAGAATTACCATCTGACACTTCTCCCCTTAATTCTGATTTGTACCTTCAAGCTTCTCGACTCCCAGAAGATGTTTCATCTCTGTAAACTTCACTCGTGGCAATGCTTTGGTCAAGATATCAGCCCTCTGTTCTTCTCCACTTATGTGCTCTACACAAATCAATCTCTTTTCTACACATTCACGGATGAAATGGTAACGGGTGTCGATGTGTTTGCTTCTCCCGTGAAACACTGGATTTTTCATGAGCTCGATTGCAGATTTGTTATCCACATATAACTTGACCCTTTTTACTTCACAGCTGGTCAGATCTTGCAACAGACCTCTCAACCACAATGCTTGACATGCTGCCGATGTTGCAGCCATAAACTCTGATTCACAGGAAGACAACGCCACTGTACGTTGTTTTTGTGAACACCACGTGATTAAATTACCTGAGAAGTAAAATGCCATTCCGGTTGTGCCTTTCCCATCATCTCGGTCCATACCATGGCTGCTGTCGCTATAGCCAACCAGCTTCCCATTTCCTCCTTGTCGATATACCAGACCATCATTAACCGTCCCCTTGATATATCTCAAGATCTGTTTTACCGCTTTGAGATGACTCTCTCTTGGTGTTTCCATGTATCTGCTCACTACTCCAACTGGGTAACCAAGGTCTGGCCTCGTATGTATCAAGTATCGTAGGCTTCCAATGAGTCGTCGATATTCCGTGGCGTTTACTGGCACCCCTTTCTCGTCCTTTGTCAAGCTGATCTTTGGTTCCATAGGACACTTCGAGGGGTTGCAATCAGCCATTCCAGCTGTTTGTAGTATCTTTCTTGCGTACCCAGTTTGACTGATCTTGATGTTGTTTCTATCTTGTTGAACTTCGATCCCAAGGTAGTAGGACAGCTTCCCCAAGTCACTCATATCAAATACCTTCTGCATTTGTTTCTTAAAAACTTCCACCTGCTCCTTACTTGTACCTGTCACAATTAAGTCATCAACATAAACGCCGACTATCAGCATCATCTTTCCCCTTTGAAGCTTGTACACTGCCTGTTCTTGAGGGCACCTTTGAAAACCCAACTYCTTAAGTGTTTTGTCAAGCCGAACGTTCCACGCCCTTGGTGCCTGTCGTAACCCGTAAAGGGCTTTGTTTAACCGATACACCATGTGCTCTTTTCCTGCAATGGCAAACCCAACAGGCTGTGAAACATACACCTCCTCTTGTAAATCGCCGTTTAAGAAGGCTGACTTTACATCGAGGTGGTGGATCTTCCATCCATTCACTGCTGCAAGGGCAAACAACATTCGAATGGTCTCCAAACGTTCCACCTGTGCGAAAACTTCATCGAAATCTACCCCCTTTCGCTGCACGTATCCCTTAGCGACCAACCGGGCTTTGTATTTCGTTACATTACCAGCTGCATCTTTCTTTAATTTGTATACCCATTTCAATCCAATAGGCCTGTGACCATGAGGTAGAGTAGTCAGACTCCATGTATGATTCTTCTCGATCGATTCAAGTTCTTTCTTCATTGCATCTTGCCAATCTCGATCGCACGCTGCTTCTGAGTATGTTGTAGGTTCATCTCCGCAAGCATCAACTCATCTTGCTCGACTTCTACCGGTTGAGCTCTAGCATAAACGTCAGATAACGATCGAAAACCTCGAACAGGTGTATGATCATACGCTGAAGGACTCACATTTTGTCTATCACCAAAAGATGTGATCGATGTACCCCGTGAGTGTGGAGATGAATTCGATGGACCAGCTGTGATACTACCGGTTGCTGTGGAGCTTGACAACGACGTCGTTGGCGTTGGTGGATCATGTGCATCCAATTGAGAAGTAGGAATTCCATCTTCCTCGTCAATCGAAATTTGATCTCCTGTTTCTTCCTCTAACCCATGATCAATTGGTACCTTTATCCATTCTGGTTCCATTGTGGACTCACAGTCTTGAGCCACAACCCAATTCCATTTGACCTTTCTACGAAAACGATATCCCGAGTCACCACCACTTTGTTCTCTCTAGGATTAATCATGCGATAAGCTTTACTCCCTGGTTCGACACCCAGATACACCATTATTGTGCTACGACTGCTGAGTTTCGTGGACTAATTTGCCAGTTTCTTTACGTGTCCGACACACCCGAACACCTTCAGGTGTTGAAGTGTGGGTTTCCTTCCCTTCCAAGCTTCGTACGGAGTCATATCCTTCACCCCCTTAGTTGGAGTTCGATTTAAGATATAAACTGCATGTCGAACTGCCTCTCCCCACAATGTATCTGGTACATTCATTGTTTTCAACAATGATATCGTGGCTTCGAGAATGGTTCGATTGCGACGTTCCACCACACTGTTTTGTTGTGGAGAGTACGGAGTCGTCAGTTGTCTGTTGATCCCTTCTTGTTTACAAAAATCAGCAAACTGTTGAGAGGTGAACTCCCCCCCTCGATCGGTCCGTAAAGCTTTCAACTTTAATGAACTTTCATTCTTAACCTGCGCTTTGAACCTTTTGAAAAATGCGAAGGCTTCATCTTTCGACTTGATAATGAAAACCCACATATATCGGCTGTAGTCATCAACAATCAACATAAAATACCGATTACCTGCCATGGTTGATGGGGAGATTGGACCACATAAATCAACGTGTACCAGTTCAAGAGGCTTACTTGCATGCCACTGTGCTTCTTTTGGAAAAGATTGTCGGGTTTGCTTCGCAACCATACACCCCTCGCAGACTTGTGTGGGATGTTTTATTTTTGGTACTCGTACTAGATCTCTCTGCACCATCGATTCTATGACCTGAAAGTTTATGTGACCCAATCTCGCGTGCCACAACCAAGCTTCATCATCGAGACTTGCCAAAAGACACACGGGCCAAGTTGTATGAAGGACTATTTTGTACAAACGGTTCTTAGACCGTTGTACCTTCATAATTAACCGACCACCGTCATCATGTACTCTCAAGTACTCTTGCAACATTTCAACTTTGTACCCAATTTCGGTCATCTGTCCCAGACTCAATATGTTGCTATGTAATGCTGGAATGAAATACACGTCAGAAATAAGAAGTTGT